TTTTGGACTTTCCGATAACCAATGGTTTCGGTTGCAGCTGTACGGTGGGAGTTTGAAATGCTGTCCCACAGTTCCCTTGTACCAAGTTGTTGACGAGTGCTCTCAGAGAGCAGGAGTGCAAGCCGAGTAGAAAATCGTTCGGCTGTCAGGTGTGATTGCAGCTTCTCGTCGAACCTTAATTGTGTTTGATGGCGTGCTTTTTTTTGATTTTTTGAATCTTGGCTGCAACATGGTAGTGGTCCGAGTCGACGTTAGGACCTCGAAGCGCACGCGCATCTAAAATACTGGAGACGTGTCTTCCGTCTATCACAACGTGATCGATCTGGTTGGTGGTTTTTCAATCCGGAAACAGCCAGGTAGCTGGATGTATCTTCGTATTTTTGTTTGGTACATAAGCGACTGCGGATATTTAAACGAGTCGTACTTCTACTGTTTTAAGTAATTAAGTTAAGTAAGTTAATGTATTTCAAGAAAGATACAGGCAGTTAAGAAGGAATGGATTTCAAGCGGAGTACTACTTAACCGGGATTGATTGTACACAAAAATCAGAAGAATATTGAATGTTTTCTTTGAAATATTTCTTAACTTGAAAATCGACAAATAAACTGTGTTGTCAATTTTATTATAATATATTGAAATATACTTATATTTGCGGGGTTGTCACTTTTTCGTTCTCATACATTTCAGACATCTTTTCAATTTATGATTTTTAGCTTTTGAAATCGTCGCGAAAAGACGCTTATAGGCACGGCAGGGTCTGCTTTTATGAATGAATCGAATATGCTTTTTGAAGTACGATTGCGTTCATGAAAGAAAATGTTATTGTTGTTTAATTAAAATTTTGACGTTTCTTTCTGAAGCTATTTGAGAGGATTGGTGTTTTTGTAGAACCATATTTGTAATTTTTGCGGGTGACATATTTACACGTGAACGCGTATATGTAAGTATGTATGTTATGTATCACGGATGGAGTATTCTGTTCTCTCTAGCTGGGCTCTAAGCTACCGGGGGGGTCGGCAGGTCGCGGATAGCCGAACGGACTGTAGTAGCAGGTCAGTTGCGAAATAAGTTAAAACGAATAAGCAATCCCCGACGATAAGCGACAGGAGTGGAGAACGCGCCATAAAAGCTTGCAGATCCGCTGATGCTCCTATGACTATAGCGAACCGACAATGCCTCATAGAAATACGTGTCCCCCTCAGGTCACGTCTGCTCACCAGAGCGCACTGGGAGTCCCTCAAAGTGTCAACAGCGATTTCTCTGCTGGCGGGATGGAGAGGGTGATGTGAGCATGCTCTGCCGATGTGTCTGCTGCGGCGAACCAGGAACCAGCCCCTTCGGGCCCTGTTCAAGGAGTGTGCATTGGAGCCGGTCGGTCCGTGTTTTTCCGGACTGATAAAGCGAAGGACAGGCCTCAGGAAACTGGGGTAGGGGCAGTGTCCCCGATGGTACACCCGTTCCTGTTTACTTCGGCCCGCCCCCTTGCACACGATGCGCTGGCAAAACAAACATATGGAGAATAAACCGAGAAGCAAAAACACTAACAACAACAGCAGCAATATTTTTGGGATTATAGGAGGCAGCAGCACTGGGAGCGTGAGCGATGATGGTAATAAAGGGCAAAACTCCCCCCGAAGTACCGTTATTGTGGAAGCAGATCCCTTTAAGAGGGCACCAAAATTGGGTAGGTCCCCGATTAAAAACCTTGGTGTTGACAAACCTTTGAGAGCGAGGTCATCACCACCAGCGTTGGGCGACACCACTCCCCTGGCAAAAGCGATGCAACCTCGTGGAGACTGTATGGTTGAACTAGGGGAAGCGATTAAGAAGTTGATCGAAATAATACACCCATCACAGCGGTCTATCAACAACACCATGAGAGATCTTCTCGGTGTGATAGCAAAGTTGCACGCAAGTGCTCWGGAGGAGCACATGGCAAATAAGGAAGCACGACGTAATTTTCTAGTGATGACAACCAACACAGAGAATACACCCAAGAGGCCTCGAGACGAAATACAGCCAAAACGAAGAAAACCGCCGAAGAAGAATAAAACTTGCCATAAGGAATGGTCTAACAAAATGGAAGTTCCCCTCAGCAAGGAATCAAAGTGCGACAACTCAGTCACAAGCAAGGAGAAAGAAATGGCGAAACAAGATGGCTGGATCACGGTTAAACGTAAGCAACTACGGAAGACACTACATAAACCACCACCTCGACCCGATGCAATAGTAATAGAAAAAACCGGGGACATGTCATATAGTGACATCCTCAGGACTGCCAAAAAGAATGATACGTTGCAAAAATGAGGGGAAAATGTGACCAAGATAAGAAAGACGGCAAAAGGCCAAATTCTGTTAGAGCTGGAGGAGGCCCAGATGAAGAGCACGGGGGTCTTCAAGACCGAAATAAGTAAAGTGTTGGGAGAAAATGCGCAAATAAAAGATCTAACTCACGAGGTTCTTGTAGAAATACCTGATCTTGATGAAATCACAACGAAAGAGGACATTACTGAGGCAATACGCCTACGAGTAAACGAGTTGAGCAACTTTAATATAAACTCGATTAAGAGCATCAGAACGGCATACCTAGAAACCCAAACAACCGTAGTAAGTCTACCCACGTTGGTAGCAAGGGTACTTCTTGATAGTCTGGGTAGTGCAGAATAAGGGCGAAGCAAAATCTCAGGTGTTTCAGATGCATGGAATACGGACATATGGCGAAAGCATGTAACAACCCAGATGACAGGAGCAAGTGCTGTGTCAAGTGTGGAGAAACTGGACAATTTGCAAAGCCATGTAATAAAAACCCGTCATGCAGTGCAAGTGGAAAAGGGCAGGGAAACATTGACCACCAAATAGGAAGCAAAAAGTGTCCTCTCTATCAAGAGGCGTGTAAAAACATCGAAAAATTAAAGTCATGCAACTCAATCTAAACCACTGTGAGGCTACACAAGAGCTTCTTAAGCAGACGGTTTACGAGGAAAAGGTCGACGTAGCTATATCTTGCGAACAGTACAAAAATATAAGCGGCGCGACATGGATCTCTGACAACACAAACAAAGCTGCCATATGGGCATGTGGAGGGGAAATGTTTCAGGATAAACCGCTATCAGGGAAATCTTTTTACACACGAGCCAAAATATGTGGAATCAATTTTTATAGTTGCTACATGCTGCCAAGCATATCGCAGATTGACTTTGAGAAAATCCTGGATGAACTAGTCAGAGAAATTCTGTCTACTACAAGAAAGGTGATAGTTGGCGATTTTAATGCATGGGCGATGGAGTGGGGTAGCATCTGCACAAATAGGCGTAGAGATGCTCTGCTGAAGGCCTTCTTGTCGTTAGACATTGTGTTACTAAATACCGGAAATCAAAATACGTTCGAGAAGAACGGTCGGGAATCGTTCATTGACATAACCTTCGCTAGCAACTCTCTAGCACGGACAACAAGGTGTCATGTGTGGCAAAATTGAAGGAATATGTCCACTAAAAAAGTACAGAGAAAAGGATGGAAGATGGAAACCATCATTTAACATTTGAGGAAGACATAAATCGTCAGGCCGAGACATTAGTGCGGCACGTCATTAAAGCATGCGACGCTT